AAGCCTCTCAGATGTTAAGTGTTGAAGGCATGTGTTTAGCTGTAATGAACATTGCTGTAACTTACACAGCAATGTAAGTTGACCAGACTCAATTTTTGCTGGTGCAGAAGACACACAGGAAGACCAATTCTTTATTCGGAATATCTCACAAAGCTTTCAGCCCGTCCTGACATTCATTTCCATTCCTCCTGTGCGGCACGTGAAAGACGTTCAAAAAGTCCTCTCGAAGCCCCGCTCTCTGTTACACGTATCTCCATCCTAAAAAAATTTAACTTTCTAAAATTTGCTAAAGAAACTTGTTTCCCCTGCCATTGGGGCCAATGACTTACAAAAGAGATCAAAATACTGAAAAATATTTCATAGCTGAATTTTCTCTCCTAAAGAAATTACATTAATAAACTTCCACAACAAGGGAAGTAAGAGAGGGAGAGAGAAGTAGAGAAAACTTCTATCAGCCTCCCAAAAGAAGATTGATCTTTCTCATAGATACTGTGTGTGTGTGTGTGTGTGTGTGTGTGTGTGTTTGAGTTAAAATACATTTTCCACAGATCAGCCAACTTCTGAATGGAAGGCCAAATCAGGAAAGAGTGAGCCAGTCTAGAAAATAAAACAGTGGTGTATAAAAGTTAAGCATTAATCTGGTTTTGCAGCTGTAGCGTTCTCCGGGGAGTTGTGTATTTTCTATCCTCGTTCTTCCTAGAGAAAAGAGAGAGAAAATAATATCCTCAAATGCTTGTCTAATTCTCACAGTCATTACCTCTTTCCCTCTTGCTCCTTATTTTTCTCTCTCTCACGTATAAGCACACACACATTACAGTTTCTAATCATCCACCAACACAAGAGAATAATGGACATCCTTTGCCATTTGAAGACAGCTTAAAGGTGATGGGGGAGGGGAAGAAGGGCAAACTACCCTTTGCCCCAGGAGGGAGCTCTTCTGGCCAGAAGGTAATAGCTCAACTCTGCCCCACAGGTCATTGGACCCCACAGTTAAGAAAAAATGCTGGCACAGGAGATAAAAGGGATATAATGAAAATGTAAACGAAAAACTTTATACCAGGCATGGCCTGACAGAGGGAAGATTGATATCCCATGATGCTTTGTCTTGATGAGACAATGAAAAATAACCACCACAGCAGCTGTGTCAATATCAGACTTGGTAATGCACCACTGGCTGTGGGTTTTTATTTAATCCGCTTTGCTTTAAGATGATAACGGTTGTTACTTTTCAGTGCCTGTCTGTCAGCGCCCAGCATTGCAATATTCCTCCGCAGCTCTGCGAGCGGGTTTCATTTATTTTAAAATACCATTTCACACACTGCTGACTTTTAACAGTGTTCTGTGTGAGTTTGTGAGATTGAATAGTGACAGAAACAACACTTTTTATGAGAATACAGAATATTAAAAACGGGGCACAATATACAGATGGCAGTTTTCACTACAGCTTGTTTTTTTCCCCCTTGCTTCTGCTACTGAGCTTTCCCACTGAATGCATTTGTAGTAACACCATAAATGTCACTTTCACTGACTGCCTTTTGGCATTTTATTTAAATGGAATTCAACTCTGGCTTGCTGCTGCCGCTGTTGCTGCCACCGTTACTGACTTGTTTTTAGGGTGGCTCCGTTTTACAAACTCATCCCGTTGGCTTCATTCTTCATGGCCCCCCGAAAGGAAATACATGAAAACCTCTCAAACCCGAATTCCTTGGCAAAGACTCGAAGTCCAAGGATTCTGAAAGACTTTTCCAGGGGAGATTACCGTAGCCATATGTGTTTGGCCTTCGCAGCCGTGGCTCAGGGGAAAACACTTCTAAACTATAGGAATACTCCTGACTGGGAACTAAGATACTTTATGGGTGGGGTGGGGTGGGGAGGGGAGGGAGGACCAGCACACACAGACCATATTCTGTTGAATGCTGCAGGAAAACACAGAGACAAGGCTCTGAGTGACTTATCTAGGCCTTGCGTCTATTACTACTGACTTGAAATACTTTGGTTGGGACGTTTTAGCTGGGCCCTGGCTTCTCTCCATCGATCCTATCTTGGCAGGTACATGCTTATGCTGCTGGGCCTCTAGACAGGTAGCGGGGTGGAATGATGTTGACATGTGCAGATTCCCCCCTCTCTCTTTTTAGTCCAGCACAAAACATCCATTGCTTCATCAATTCCAGAGACTAAGCAGAATAGACAAGGGTGGTGAAGCCTTTTCCTGGGAGAACCTGTAATTTGGGGAAAGCTGGCCTCTTGACTAGGTCAAATGAGGCTAGAAATGATCTGCTTAATCCAGCCGTGTAGATGTGTCCACATCTTACAGTCTTAGGCCTGAATCAAAGAGCCTACGAGATTTCTAGCTGAGAGCTCAAATTTTCAGAAAATTGGAAATTTTCATAGAAAAAAAGTAAATAAAATATAATTCAAAGCCTCAGTTCTAGCCTCCGGACTGCAACATTCATCACCTTTGTTTTCAACTCCCTTTAGAAACATGCAAAGCTGGGAATATTTGGTAGGGGGAATATTTGGTAGGTTCATAAGCATTTTTACAGACCAGACTAGTTTCTGAAGATGTCTGAAAGTCTGTCTGAATCTCTTTATATCCTTTTAATTATAAAAGTTAGAACTGTTAAGGGATGGGAGGCTAGGGAGATATCCATTTTAAGTTCTATGGAATCTCTTTGTTTTGAACTATTTATGCTTATCTTCCAATTAACTTCTATAAACCTTGCAGAAGTACTGAAGTGAATAAAGGTAACATGACAATAAGGTCATCGAAATATTTAAATAAATTTATGAAATGAAACTACTCAAGACCCTTGATATAAAGGAGATAAAAAAAAAAAAAAAGAGAAAATAGAATTGGAATCCAGGCAGGAACAACATCTCATACTATTTCTGTATTTCAAATAACACCTGACACAAAAGCCTATCTCTTCGTATGCATTTGCCATCTCAGTGAATGGAAAAACCATCTAAGCAATTTTCTTAGACAAAAATCTTGTGTGTCATTCTTAACTCTTCCTTGTTTGGCAACTTCTCTTCCAATCAATCACTAAGTTCTGACAAGGGATCTGCTTAATATGATTTAAATGCATCTATTTCTCTCCAGCCCCACTGCCCGCATGTTAATGTGTATCCTTGCTGATGCAGCAGTAGTCTCCTCATCTTCTTTCCCTCAAATCCATTCTTAATAATGTTGCCTGAATAATATTCTAAAACAAACATCCGGTCACGCACTGTTCTTTGCATATTTGCCATCATGAAAATAGTTTTCTCTGAGGACTTGAGCTCATAGCAATCTCTATCCTTCACATACTGTAAATGTGTCTCATTGGACCTGGTCTGTGTTCATTGTTCTTTTAAAATCTTCCATATGCGTCTTTTCTCCCTTCTTAGAATGTAAGAGATCACATTTATGTTTTTTGGTACATTCTATAATACCTAGGTGGGTGTTGGGCCTAGTACCATGACATCAATAAATGATCAATAAATATTCATAGGGTTTGCCAAATATTTGAATCAGTCTAGTGTGTTAGCATAGCCCTTGATAGAGTTAGCCATAATAAACCTGTTGAATCTAAGGCACTAGTAATTATGCAGCAAAAGAGAGGCTCTCCATGATGTATGGTGGTCACCAGAATGATGTTTAGCCAAGCTTAGAAGTGGGGGAAAAAAGCCCCTATAGGAGCACAGACATCTCAAGGTTTGCCTAGAAAATCTTTGGGTAAAGATGGTATTTCTACCTCCAAATCTTTTGCTTCACAATGTTGCATTTTTTTTTAGACTAGAATTGAGCTCAGCAACTCTTCTCTAGTTCTGTTTATTTTATTTATTTGTTCATTTTTTTCGCCTTTATTCCAGGTTCAGGGATATATGTGCAAGTTTGTTATATACAAAAATTGCATGTTGTAAGAGTTGGGTGTGCAGATTATTTTGTCACCCAAGTAATCAGCATAGTACCTGATAAAAAGTTTTTTGATCCTCACCCTCAGGTAGGCCCTGGTGTGTGTTGTCGCTTTCCTTGTATCCATGGGTACTCGATGTTTAGTTCCCACTTATAAGGGAGAACATGCGGCACTTGGTTTT